AACAGCAAATCGCCGGCGGTGTCTTCCCCAACCCTGTCACCAGCCGTGAATTCCCCGGCCAGTGCTGAGCGTTATTAGTTACGTACCTTTTTGCCCTTTTTGGTTTACAAATGTTGCGTGGAGCATGTATCTTATTTTGAAGTTTCTCGATTCTTCCTTTGTCACTGTTTGTCCAGCCCGGATTTATATTGTTTAATTGTCTGTTGGGCTTGCATCAAGCAAGTTAGTTCTGCAAGGTGCTATAGTGTGCTTCATTCTTAGGGCTTGCCAGTTAGGTTGTGAAACCAATTCAACTGATATTATTTGCTTCTTTGAATATTCTTTGCTCCTCGTCCTGAACGATACCTAGGTAGCCACATGGGCAGTTTTACTTTTGGCCCATCTTTGGAACCTTGCAAGGTTCGGTACACGTGGAGCCTACCGGGGCAACCCTAACTTTAAACTCATCACTCGACGACCTCAGAACACCCCCAGTACTCTCTGGAGAAGGAGGATTTTTTGGAAGGAAAAAGTTTTTGTGTTTTTGTGTGTACTCTCCCCTTGCGAGAAATGGATACATCGTAGAGCTGGAAAAGAAGCCATTGAATCCCAGTGACTCATTTATCCTTCACGATGTACAAATGTCCAAGCACCACAGAAGTCTATAATTGAGCAATTAGAAGAGACTCTGAGAAGATATCTTATGAATTGGGTATGTAGCTGGAACTCCAAGAGTGCTAAACGTGGAACAGGTATGGATGGACCTGGTGGTCATGCAAGTGGAACAAGGTAGGGGTGTGATAAGCATGTACAACAGAATGGTGCTAATTCAGAGGGGATAAACGCTTATGCTGATGTAACAGTAAGTAAGATCCTCTTCCTTGACTCAGAGCAGACCAAGTGCTCCAAACGCCGCAACGACTTCGGTGTCAACGTTGACTAGCCACTCATCCTGGAACCGCTGTGCCCCACCACAGCCAGCAATGACCTCTTGCAGACGATGGCGCACAAAGTCTCGGATCATGAAGCGATGGATAGCATCCCCAGACTGCCAGTCACGGCGACGAATGATCTCAGGCGATTCGACCTCTTGAGTGCTTTCTGGCATCGCGGTTTCTGACCCGGCTGGTGCATTCCAGCAGACCAAATAATCGGCGTTGGGATCAGTACTACCGTCTGCTAATTCAGTGATGAGATCTGTCCATACACTCAAGTAGGACTGTAGGTGGGAGAGGATGTAGGCAGGGGGTGGAGGGGGGAAGACGGATCGAGTGGTGCTCCTTGGAGGGCCAAGAGTTGGGTGAGGGCAAGTACGTGAAGTTTCTTCTGGTTAATGCTGCCAATGTTGTCGTAGTGCGAAAACCATTCGGTCAGAATCCAGGTCAGGGATTGTTCTTCGGATGAATTAGTCGCAGCAGCGACTGATGAGGCTAAAATGGCAGGACTGGCCAGCGCAAGGCGGGCTAGCACAGAGTAGTAATCGCTCTCGACGACACCTACCACAGGTGAAGATTTTCTGTTTGGACCAGACGTCTGACTCACTTCGTAGGCAGAGTAAAGGCCTTCTAGCAGGGAAGCCAGGAGTGAGCTGTCTAGAAGGGATTGGGAAATGATGCCATATGTTGCTTCGCTACCACCGTCGACAGTCTCGGCACCGCGAAGGATTAGATCAACAAGGCGAGGTATCACACCAAGGCGTTGTTTGGTTGTAGATTTGAGTAGTGATTCCAGGATCACCATGATTTGGAAACGGAAACGGTCACTGAGAATCTCCTGCGGCGCAAGGAACACATAAGATTCAAGGATCTGAATAGCCTGTGGGGTGCTATCGGTTGCGGCTTCGAGAATGGGGAACAAAGATGGGAGGAGTGAAATGATCTCCGGTGAGGCAGGAGATGGCGTAGCTTGGACAATGGCATGCCAGAGATCCAGTGCTTCATCTAGAAGGTAAACGATGGTTTCCTTGGGCGAAAGATTAGACTAAGTTGATATGTGCAGCATAATTCACAGTAAGGCTTACCGAGCCGGGTTCTACGGAGCTTTGGATCAGTGGGAGAATGAGAGAGTGATACCTCACAGACTCCTGTCCCAGCGACTGGATCAGAGATGAAAGCAAAGTCAAAATGGCTTGTTTCATCAAGTGTTCTTCGCCAGAACTTTCCCACAAAGGTGGGAGTAAAGAAATGATTCGATCAGAGAATGGTGTGATCTAGTGTTATGAGTTATGAAGCCACCAATAAGAACGAGGTAACAACTTACATGATCTTCCATCTTGACCACTACCATGCGAACCGTCTCCAAAAGCCCCATCTTAGTATCCGATGATTCTACTTCTTGAACGAGAGACATGAGATTCTCCAAGATGGTAGGCGCAAATGACATAAATGCTTCAGGCGAAAATTCGTATGAGTCGAGTACACTCCGAAGTTGTCGACCGGCGGTGATGCGGACGACCAGGTCATTCAACGGATCATGCTTGCCGAGCAAATGCTGGAAGATCTGGTAAATTGCGTTCATGTTCAATGCGTTTCCCTTAACTGGGACCCACTGGCCAAGGACGAGCGCGATTCTTCTCCTCAGAAGCTTGTACTCTGGATCCTGAGACTGGACCTCAGCAACCAAGGTATGCTCCAAGAATGCGTTGAAGTCCAGGTGCTGCTCAAGACTGGCTGCAGCCAAGCCTATGGCAGAATATAACGAGTCTTTCAACAGTACATTGTGGTTGTCGGTGCCTGTAGTATAAATATTAGATTTGCATCCACGTCATATAGCTCATCGATAACTCACTTGCGAAAGTATAGAATACGGTCAACAAACGTGGAATCAATAAATCCTTGAAATGGATCACAAGATCAAGGAAAAGTTTTTCCGAGCATGAACGGATTGAGAACTCCCAAGCGTCAGAGTTCTCTTCCTCTCGCTTCTCCCAGTCCTCTGGTTCTTCTTCCCAATCTTGGAAATCGATCTTGCGGAACCTGAAAAATTGCGTGACGAGTAGCTCCATGACATTAATCACAAATTCTTCGGTAAACAATTGCGTTTTGACGAGCTGAACGGATTGTTTCCGCTCCTCCTTGTCTTCCGGTGTCTGATACTTGAAACTCTGAGCAGGGTTGAACGCCATCTTTGCGCAAGCACGAATTAAAAGCAGAGCCCTGAGGCCGGTCTTCTCAGTCAAAGATTTTCCTTCATCTTCGCCTCCAGCACCAAGGCTGTCATATTTCTCGCCGAGTGTGACAACTAATGACCAATATGACTTGACAAGCGAGATACTATCTGGCAGCAACGCGAAAGATGCGGCGTGTGTCTTGGCCATTTCAACATGCAACTTCGACATTTGCAGCAAATGTTTCTCGATAGCCCGATGGATTGGCTCGGGTAGATTAGTAGACCCGTCCACGAGAGAGTGGAACTTGCTGAAGTGCGAATGCGTCAGCACCCAGAAGCCCTGTACTTCTTGGCTGCGACTCGGGTGTTCGAAGCCAGCAATTATCAGGCGTCTTAGGACCTTTAGAGCCACCAAGCTCAATTCGAGTGTCTCCAGCAACTCCCCCTCGCCCGCACCACCCTGCTCCAGTATCGTGCCCCATTGATTGACTTTATCGACATAGATGCCTCCCAGTAACTGGAATATCTCAGGGGAAACAGATTGAAGATTGTGTCGGGTTCGTTGAATTCGGGCCGTGGATAATTCCTTGATTATTTGTAGCAATATGAGGAGAGTTCGGGGAAGCTGGAGTGGATTTGCTCCAGGTTGGACGGAGGATCGGAGGGAGGAAATGATGTACGAAATAGCATCAGGCCTAATTGAAATTAGAATGAGAAGACACAAAGCTGCATCTTGCCATACCAGTCATGGGGAAACTCAAATCGCATGATCTTTGCAATCATCAGCGAGTTATGGAGAGCCAACAGCGGCGCAGGTTCCACGATTCCTGCCTCAAGAGCCCGGGTCTTGATATGCTCCTTTTCTTCCGGTTTGATCGCACTTCCAGGGGTGTTAGCATGTCCTCATCTTGGCTATATCCTGGTGACATACTTTGGTGCTGTCTTGCGCCAGTATTTATCGATGCCATTTTTCAGTTGGATGATGGCGAGATAGCGAACTTCATTTGGTACGGAGTGGTCAAGGAAGACATCCTGTATGTTATAAAATGTGTTATTAGTTTGAAACAGCAACAACAACCAAGAGTGTCGATACCTGTAGAAAAGAGTAGTACATGCCCTGTTTCTCCCAGTTCTGGAGCTGTTCAGTGCCCGTTCGAACTTGCTGCTGAGACGAGCTTGCTGCAAGGACTAAAGTATTGAGCACATTCTGGGGGCTAAGTGGGTTGGTCTCGCCCTGAGCTTCGATGGCAAACGCCATGGCGAATAGCAGTGTTAATTGACGCGTGAAAAAAGACCTGCAAAGCCCGTAGTTCTGCTAAAACAAGCACCAGATCAGAGTTCCACTGATGTGCTCTGAATCACTAGGCATTCATGAAAAGAACCTCTGAGCGAATTCCAAGATGTTGATCAAAGAACTGACATGTCTCGTCGGAGCTCCCGAGGTCCCTCTGCAGCATAAACTCCCCGCCTCCGGAAAAGCCATACTCCGGTCCCGCTGAACCCTAGGGCTGGACCCTAAGTTCAGTCCCGATTGAGATCTGTTGCTAGGGCTCCTGATAACGTTCCCCTTGGTGGAGACAATGAAGTCAGGCTCGACCAAGTTCCAAGCTTAGAATGTTATCACACTGGAATTGACAGCTTTCAGGTTTTTGAACAAGAGAATTCCATTCACCTATACCATACAACACTCCCTGTCCTCTTTCGTGACACACCCATGATGTATCATGATGCAACTCCAATCTTTAACCTGAAGTGAAGTAGGTATGATGTGGATGTGGAGAGAGATCCAGAGCGATGTATATAAAGCGCAATTCAGTCCAATCAACATAGCAATCTATAAGCTCAAATTTACCTTGACACGCCTATCAAATTACCTTCTATCATAACAACCAAGAAACTCAAAAAAAAACAACATGCCCAACACCGAAGAATTGAACAAGGTAGCCTTCGACGCCGAGAGGGATCTAAACTCCTACCAGGCCAAGCAAGGCCTTGGCAAGAAGAGTGACTCAAGTACGTCGAGAAGCTGGTCTTTACCGATACCATTTGTACTAATAAGCTCCTCAAGCTGTCGAATCTGGTGTTGACGAGATGGTCGATCAGCGATTCTCTCAGCCTACAGGTGTGAAGTACGGCCCTGGCTCAACTGCCTCTGGCAGCGACCACCGAGTAATTCCCGAGGATGAGGGCGGCACTCGTGATGACCGCAACAGGTAAGCTATATACTGCTTCTCTGGGGTATGTCCATTGTTCGCATGATTAACATTCCGTCCTTTCTAGGCTCGCCAGGGCAGGTCAGTACGAGGGTATTGGTGGCCCGGAAGATAAGGTCTAAACCGAGAACCGTCGTGGTGACCAGGAAGCTCTTCGAAACCTCAGAATATGAAGTGCAAAAATTTACCGTAAAGATACATATCACAAATGATACCTGATGACTGTACGATTATGAAGAATTGGAATTTTCATCAATATTATCCAATTACCGACTTATACCCGATTAACCGAGGCATCAGCCCCAGAAAGTGATGTCCGATATATAGTAATGAGCCTCAGCAATGTCACCTTCCCGACTAGTACAATGGATACATTTCAACCACCGAGATCGCCCCCGCACGGTAACCTCATCTGGATAGATAACACGCCTTAGAAGCTTTCCCTATAGGAAATTCACAGTGATTCTTAAATGATTTCTTCGGGGATTCTTCAGCCCTTTTCAAAATGGCTGCTGGTTTTACTTGTACCCCCCCGACAATTACTCCGATGAGAAACTGCCTTACTAGGTAGTCCCAAGATGATGCCTAGATGAACTACCCACACATGCCACTGGTTTTTTTTTTTATTTCACTCCTAGATGTTTTTACTTTGTTTTGGTGCTATTGTCAATGACCTTTTGATCATTGGGTGAAGCTCAGCACGCCCCTAGGCCAAGCTCAGTGATTTGCCTGGGCATCGGTTCCCCACTCACTAAGCGTCGGGCTAAGCATCCGACTCAGCATCCAAGGTTTTCTCCAGAGAACCACATGGGCTAGCGTCCTACAAGTCTCCACTTCAGGATCTTGTTAACCGACATTACAAGGAAATCGGGTAGGCTTCATCTCTTCATAATTACTATATACTCTATGTGTCAATCGAGTGTATATCGAAAGGACTATGCGCCCAGGGCCTTTGACCGTCAAAACTACCTTGGGCCCCAAAGAAATCAGCTAAGCATTCGTTTTGGTCTTGGCGCGAACCCTCGTTTAGGATCCTTGTAAATATCGACCAATCAGAAGTCTCCATCGCGACATGTGCCAACGTCGTACAAACAACACTCTAAACTTCAACTCAACATCAGGGACATACTACCTACATGGGACTTGAACAAAGCTAGCAAGATCACAGTTAGCCGACGTACCGGGCAGGTATACCTTGTTTATCTCCGAGCGAATGCAAGAAGCACGTGTAGTGACTCCCCCTCCATAAATCTCTTGACGATCCTTTCTTCTTCCTTCTCTTTTTTCTTCTTTCTTACCTTCAATCTCTTCAGTCTGCCTGCTTGGTCCATCAGCTACATCATTCTTTCATTGAGTTCCTGATCATTCGAGATGAAGGCCGTTCTTGCGGTCCTGATGGGAGTGGCTGCCCAGGCAGTCGCTCAGACAGCTACTACCTCCGAGCCCGCTGTGGCGGATATTCATGCAGCTGCCGCAACTACCAAGCCGGAGGTCACCGTCTCCAATGTTAAGGGTCTGGCTTTTGATCGTTTCTATCAGGTCTGGCTGGAGAACATTGTATGTGATAAACCCCCAAAACATCCAATTCAGATATTGTTGAGACATGACTAACAGGCTCATAGGACTATGACAAAGCTGCTGCGGATACCAACATGCAGTGGCTTGCTTCTCAGGGTATTCTGTTGTACGTTTCCAGTGACTTTGGCTATGACTGAGATGACCCATTCTGATGCTTTCTAGGACCAACTACTATGCTGTCACCCATCCTTCTGAGCCCAACTACTGCGCTGCCGCTGGTGGTGACACGTTTGGAATGGATAACGACGACTTTATTCAGGTCCCGGAGAACGTCTCCACCATTGCTGATGTGCTTGACACCAAGCACATCTCGTGGGCTGAATACCAGGAGCACATTCCTTATGCCGGCTTCCAGGGCTACAACTATTCCAATCAGGAAACCTACAAGAATGACTATGTTCGGAAGCACAACCCTTTGGTGCTGTATGATTCCGTTGTGGTCAACAACACTCGTGCACGGGCTATCAAGAGCTTTGAAGACTTCGAAAATGATCTTCGGGACAAGAAACTTCCTCAGTGGGCGTTTATCACTCCTAATATGACCAACGATGCGCATGACACCAGCATCACTTTTGCTGCCAAGTGGGAGCGTCCTTGGGTGGCCAAATTGCTCGAGAACGAGTACTTCTACAACAACACTCTTCTTCTTCTGACCTTCGATGAAGATGACACCTACACGGGCGACAACCGTGTCTTCAGTGTTCTCGTTGGTGGCGCCGTTCCTGAACACCTCAAGGGTACCAAGGATGACACCTTCTACACTCACTACTCTAGCATTGCCAGTGTCTCCGCCAACTGGGGTCTTCCTTCTCTGGGTCGCTGGGATTGTGGTGCCAACATCTTCGAGATTGTCGCCAACAAGACTGGCTACGTCAACTACGAGGTCGACCCAACCCACCTCACGCTCAACCAGACCTACCCTGGTCCCTTGTCAATTGGGGACAAGTCCACTGGTCATACCTCCACTTTCACTCCCGAGTGGCCGGTTCCCATCACTGATAGCAATGAAAAGTGCTCCGCCGGCCATGGTATCCTGGATATTGTCAAGAAAACCTATGGACACCTGGAGCCGTCGTACGACACCAAGCCATACCCCTGGAACGCCAAGACTCACTACAACGACAAGGTCACCGCCAAGCGGGCAAACGAGACTGACTCGAATAGCAAGACCAACTCTACAGAGGATGACTCTAGTCACAAAGGCACTGGCGTTTCTGCCAAGGCTCCCATCTCTACTGTCGTGGTCGGAGTCCTGCTGGCAATCGCTGCCTACAGCTTCTGATTGAGATCTTTTTCATCCATTCATACTGTTCGGTTGGGTGTGACTGTGGTCCAATGGTCCTTATCATCCGGAATCTTGCAGACGCGGTTCTGACTGATTGGCTATCTGCGGGCTAATATCTTAATCCTTAGCTATGAATTCAAATGCGTTATCATCCTAATATTGCTTTTTGCTATTAAAAGACTGCGAAGTAGACTCCTAAGAATGTACCATAACACGCTGGTGTGGCATTTGCATCGGCATATTCAATGAAGCCGAGAACGAACAACACTCTTGGGCCGCCGACGGGAGAAAGTACATGTCAAACCCGATATTGATATCGCCTCTGCAGTATACTGAGGTATGCTTCTAGCCTAAGCTCAGCATACCAATACTCTCTAATAGTGGGTTTGATCGCCGTATTGATTTTTGCTGAGCCCCATTCATTCATCTCCATTGTTGGTATTTTCTGCATCTTCGGCTGAGCGGAGTAGAAGTTCTTGGGAACCTCGAAGGTCCGTCTTCTCGCATGTAGATTGTTTTTGCCCATAGATCCTTGAAATAGCATCCTTGGCCACCATTTTCTATTTGACAAATGATTTCATTTGCAGCGAAAATCTCTTTGAGCCCATAATATGGACCCTTTCGTTGTCCATCATAATGAACCAGCATTTTCTCGAGTGTGATGGACTCAAATATGGAAACTTGTCGTCCAGTAGCTTTTGCACTTGATCGGGTAGGCCAGAATTGGGAGAGGACAACCTGCTTTTATACAGCTTAAGAGCTTGTATTCTTGACGGTAGCGGGTCTTGCAAGGAGAAAGGTACAAGCGAGTCGCAGCAACCACCCAGAAGGATGTCGTGTTGGACAGAGAGAAAATACTTCATTTGTGAAAATGACTCTCTTATACAACCAAGGCTAGGTTTTACTTAATGCCATACTGGTACTGGTAAATACTATATCTTCTTCGGTAGAGGGATTTTCTTCTTCTGCATGGGTTATTGTACTCAACTCTCTATAGCCCCGATACTACGCGACCATTTTCAACCATGCATTTGGTGGAGCCAGGTATCTATTACAGACGCGCTGCCTTGATTAAGATACTCTTGGTCTCAAGGAAGTTGTCAAGGCTATGCAGAAGTCCCTCCCGGTCATTGCCACTCATCTTGAGCCCACCAAATGCACTATCCATAGCACCCGTCGGGCTAGTGCAGTTCACCCCAACAGTGCCCGCATCCAGAGCCTTAGCCAAACGAACGGCGCGATCAATATCTTTGGTAAAGACAGCAGCGAACAGGCCAAACTCTGAATCATTGGCCTTCTCAATCGCTTCGGCCTCTGTGGAAAAAGTATTGATTACAACAACTGGGCCAAAGACCTCCTCTCTCATCAGCCGCGAATCTTCAGCAACACCCTCAAAGATAGTTTGCCGCACAAAGAACCCGTCTTTCGCATCACCACCTAGAGTGAACGTTCCATCCTTCTCCCCAATGTTAAGGTATTCCTTGATCCGGTTATACTGCAGCATATCAATCTGCGGACCATGCGAGGTAGCAGGATCGAGTGGATCACCCATCCGGACAGCAGCAAACTTCTCTCGGAACAACGTAGTGAATTGTTGAGCTACTGAATCGTGCACATAGATCCGTGAGTTCGCCGAGCACACTTGCCCACTATTAAACTGGATGCCGAACTGTGTCTGCGCAGCGGCTGTCTCCAGGTCTGCGTCTTCGAAGACAATCGCCGGTGACTTTCCGCCCAGCTCCATATGCACGTGCTTCATATTTGACTTTGCGGCTGCCGCCTGGATCTTCTGGCCCGTGGCCGTGGAGCCGGTGAAGCTGATGCAGCGGACAGTCATATGCGATGCCAGTACCGCTCCGGTAGGGTTGCCGAGGCCAGAGATGATGTTGACAACGCCAGGTGGGAAGCCGGCTTCCTCAATCAGTCTGGCTACAAAGAGAGACTATGAAAAGTTTCAGTTCGCATTTTCAAGTGATATACTCCAAAAATATTGCACAAACCGTCAACGGCGCCTTCTCGCTGCTCTTCAATACAATTGTATTGCCTGCCGCTAGTGCTGGCGCCATCTTTGAGGCAAACATGACAAGCGGAAAATTCCACGGGATGATAAGTGCTACCACACCATACGGCTGCTTGACGGTCAGATTAAGGTGGTCTGGGGTGTTGAGGCTGGCCGTTCCCTGCGCAGTCCAACCGCCACCAGCGAAGTACTCGAAGAACTGCGCTGCGAGACTAACGTCGAAGAACTGTGAGATTGGTCGGCCGGTGGACAGAGTTTCGAGCTTTGCCAGCTCTTGATTTGATTTCAAGATGAGCTGGGATAGTTTGCGCAAGTATACGCCACGCTTTTCAGTGCCCAGGTCTCGCCAGGCGGGGAAAGCTGCCTTGGCAGCAGTAACGGCATCTTCTACGTCTTTTATATCGGCTTCTTGGACTTTGGCAATTTAGCAGGTGTTAGCAGAAATTTGGCTTTTGTGGAGCGTGGACGTACCTTGCGCAACGACCTCTTTGGTGTATGGATATACCACCTCGAATGTTTTGCTACTAGACGATGGTCGAAACTTAAAGGTCAGTATTAAGAAGCATGGTCTAAGCGTAGTTGATTCATACCTCACCGTTAATGAACAGCCGAGTCTCGATAGATGCGTCAACCATAGATGCCATACTGACCAGCTTGGCAAATCTGACCAAAACGAATCAAGCAAAAGCACTGTTCAAACCGAGAAACCAATTCAACACTGGATGATGGTTCGATTTATAAGAAATGCCAGCGAAGCATTTCAATTTGGCCGCCATTTTGAACCCAATCATTACCCCTTGGCCCCGAATGCAAGGGCAGTCTCCGACATGAGTTGTCATGGGTTTGATTGGGCAATATGGTTGAGATTGTACGAATCAGCTGCTAAGCTAATTTACATGAATCAATTGAAATGGCTTATATTGAATGCCGAGATATATGTGTGAATTTGCAGTGTTTTGAGGAAGTCACCGGACACTGGATTTGATGATAGACCTTGGTCATGGATGTCTTGATAAAATTCAGTCACTGAGACTAATATGCATAAGAGATAGTGTTGAGCAAAATACAGCCTATCTTACCAGTATACCATAACAAAAACCAAGGCTTCCGTTAAAGGTCTTAAGGGACCATGCTTGTAGGTTGACAGATAGTGTTGATTTGCGTACTCCCGAGGTCTGCTTGTCAAGGGTATGTCCGACGACCAAGCCGACGACAGCGCTTTCCAATACAACGTGATACCTAGGCAGCTATAAATGATGATTTCGTTTGTGCCACTAAGAATCTATATTTTTTTTTCACTACTCACAATTTCCAAAAAAAGCATTGGAGACAAAGTCACGTGAGATGCCTCGGCTCTTCTGTCTGGGGAACCGAGCGCGATGAGCAACTCCGGGACCCATTTCCCCGTGTTCTCACGAATCCCCGAACTGCTCCCTACTATCCTTTACAAAGTCATGATTTCGCGATGAGCTCGACAAACTTTGCCGCTGCACAAGAGCGTGTTCTTGAACGTCGTCGCCAGCGTGAGGCCGAAGCGCGCGCCCGCCATGCAGCACAGCAGCGGGCCTCTCCAATCAGCCCGGCCACCGTCCAGCGTCTGCCATATCCATTGAACCGATTGCCCAGCTCGGGATGGCGGCTATGGAATTCCATCAATGGCCGGGAGGGTACGCGCCCGGCATTTCGAGTGGGCCAGGTGGATGCTGAATTGTTGGATGAGGAGCTGCTTGGTCTGATGAAGGGCCAGGTTGGGGATGCCCTCAAATATTTCGGGGTATGTCTGAATGCTTGACAAATGATTCCATGGCGTGCTGTGATGGCCGGCGACTGACAATGATAATAGCCTCAAATGCGTGAAGATTGGTCAAACGAGATTCTGTTCGCCTTACGGGCTATCCTCTTCAAACTATCGATATGGGATCATAATGCATCATATGGTGCGGCACTACAAGGTCTGAGATACACCGATAGTCGAAGCAAAGGACCTGTTTACTCTCCTCCGACGAAATGGCAGAAGGGTATTTATGGCTTGTTGACTGTTGGAGGACGATATGCTTGGAACAAGTGGGAGAGCTGGTTGGTCGGACAAGAAGGTGGCTATGATGAGGTTAGTTGGCGACACGTTGCTCTCTATAGGCAAACTTTTATTGACAGATATTACAAAGCCATCACAGGACATCCGACTGTTGTCGCGACTGACGGACATGATCTCGACATCGCACTCGATTGCCGCGTTCGTCTCTTTCCTAGTGTTCCTGGTAAATGGCCGATACCGTACCTTAGTCGATCGCATCCTTCGCATCCGCCTTACTCCGCCGTCTGCACAAGCTAGCCGGGAAGTATCCTTCGAATATCTAAACCGTCAACTAGTCTGGCATGCGTTTACCGAATTCCTCCTCTTCCTTCTTCCTCTTGTTGGAATTGGTCGTTGGCGGCGGTGGATCGCCCGTGCCTGGCATAAGATGGTCAATTCTCTCCGATTTAGCGGGGATGATGATGAGATTTCCGAAAAACGAGGAGAGCTGGCTTTCCTCCCAGAGCGAACCTGTGCTATCTGCTACCGCGATCAAAACCCGACCACAACGACAGAAGCTGACGCCATGGCGGCCTCGGCATCAGGGGGTATCGTGGGATCGGCGCAAACCGATATCACAAACCCGTATGAGACCGTCCCTTGCGGCTGCATCTATTGCTTCGTCTGTATCGTGCAGAAAGTCGAAGCAGAAGAAGGCCAGGGATGGTCTTGCCTCCGGTGTGGTGAACTTGTGAAGAAATGCCAGCCTTGGAATGGCGATGTGCTAGAAGAGGCACGGTCACAGCCGGGCACGGGGAAGATGGTTGGGTTTGCCATTGACGGGGATCCAGACGACGAGACTCGTGGAACAGACCTTCTCGAAGGGACCTCATCGGACAAATCCAGTCCGTTGCAGGAGATCAGCGCTGATGAAGCCCTGCAGCATTCAGAGCAATGGTCCACCATTGAGAAAGAATCTACAGAGGACGATGCTGTCAGAGATATGAACGAGGATTTGGACCAAAAGCCTGCATCAACATGACAGTAATTCTAAGGCACACGTTTCACACTGTGGATACACTTGAGAACGTGGCATTCTCTTCTCAGACTTGTCTATAACTATACGATTAACTGGGTAGCCGCAGTACATATACAACTTGCAACCCCGATAGAAATTTGACGATACCCATACTTGAACTGAAGTTTTCCTACACATAATCATACACGGATTAACTTCAAAAACAATAGAAACATTCCACCCACCACAACTTTTAGTATTCCCATTCAAGGAATTGCCCAGCTGGATACAGCAGCATAGAACCCAATGCCAGCCCCAACAAGTGGTAGCATAGCCCTGATCAGATTCAATTTCGCCCAATGCTGCACAAGTTTAACCACCTCGCCATCATCCCTAGCCCGCTTCGCCTTCTCCTGCGGACTAACCACCATGCCTTCAGTGCCCTCAGCGCCAGCCGCATCATCGCGCTTTGCGTGAGCCTTGAGTTTGGCATTCGTCTTCTTCATAGCTGTCAAAGTGAAAGGTACAATGCTCATCGTAACGCCCACAGCGGCCAGATAGCATGTGGTCCAGTTGGACCCAAAGAAACCCAAAACAGGGGTAGGAGAGTCCCGCAATTCCCAGAGCGCATAAAGGTTTGCAAGGGAAGATACTGCGGAGATACCGGGGAAAATCTTGCTGCCGCGATCATACAAATCAAACCACTGGTGTGTCAAGTGGGCGGTCGGGGTTCCTGGGGTGTCTTCGAATGGCAGTGTCGCACCGGGCGGGCGACGCTCTGGAATGAGGATGTTGGGAATGCTCATGATCGACAATGAAGCAATTCCGCCTTGTTTACTGTGAGTTATCTGGTCATTCTGTTGTCTGGTGCTACTTACTTGCTGCCATTGCACAGCCAAGCGTCCCAATTGCCTGGGCGATTCTCAGGTCTGTGCCCATTGTGTGACTTCTCTGGTATCTAGAATGGACTCAGGAAATAGAGTTGAAGTTCCCGCATGTTACTTTTATAGTTAGCATATGTATGACGTGAGTGCCACAGACGGATGCGGTCGGATTTTGCGAGCTCCCTCGTCACGGCCTAGTGACTGCATACTAATGTACCTAGTATGATACCCAAAGTTAACGATTGATAGATTCTTGATGCTATACAGCCCTATACATTGTAGATCCGGAGACTAGGGACAACTCCGATCTGCTAAGAAATCGGCCGCCTCTGACTGGACAATCCTGAACGTGGGGTTCTGGGGGTCGGACATCGGTGCGAGGCTCCCGAGGTTGTGTGGGTTATATTTCTAGTCAATTGCGTCTGCAGCCTCCTCTTTTTGTTTGTTTCTGTTCAAATTCGCAGTCATGGATTTCTCCAAGCCAACGGAGTCTAGCACTCTCAGCGAGGCCAAATATATCAACTTCCCTTCTTTGCCCGCAGATGCGAAACATCCGGATGGCTCCCCCGCACTCAATCGTCACTCCCATACTATCACCAGAGGCCATGATTTCCCCGGCGCACGAGTAAGTTGACAATAAGAACATCGTGAGGCCTACTACTAATCGCTATAGGCTATGCTATATGCCGCTGGTGTCCCAGATAAAGAAGCGATGGCCAAGAGCCCACATGTCGGTATCGCCTCAGTGTGGTGGGAAGGAAACCCGTGCAACATGCACTTAATGGACTTGGCCAAGACTGTCAAAAAGTCGGTCTTGGAACAGGGAATGCTTGGGTGGCAGTACAACACGATTGGTGTTTCGGATGCAATCACCATGGGCAGTGAAGGTTGGTTGACTGTTAATGCTCACCGCCAACTTCGATATAGCTAACCCTCGATAGGAATGCGATTCTCTCTTCAGACCCGAGAAGTCATTGCCGATAGTGTCGAGACCGTGACCTGTGCCCAATACCATGATGCCTGTATCGCCATTCCAGGCTGCGACAAGAACATGCCCGGTGTCGTTATGGGCATGGCTCGCCACAACCGCCCCTCCATTATGATCTACGGTGGAACTATTGGAATCGGTTACTCTGAGCACTTGCGGAAACCCATCAATGTCTCAACATGCTTTGAGGCTGCGGGTGCCTACGCCTACGGTACTCTGCGCCAACCTGATGACGGTGGTGACCAAACCAAGACCCAAGATGAGATCATGGATGACTTGGAAAAGCACGCTTGCCCTGGTGCCGGCGCCTGTGGTGGTATGTTTACCGCAAACACCATGGCCACTGCTATTGAGTCAATGGGTCTGTCACTACCCGGCTCATCCTCCACGCCTGCTGAATCGCCATCCAAGATGCGCGAGTGCGTGCGTGCTGCGGATGCTATCAAGGTTTGCTTGGAGAAAAACATCTGTCCAAGGGACCTATTGACCAAGCGGTCTTTTGAAAATGCGCTTGTCATGACCATGGCGCTGGGCGGTAGCACTAATGGTGTTCTTCACTTCCTGGCTATGGCTCGGACGGCTGGTGTTGACCTAACACTGGATGACATCCAGCGGGTCAGCAACAAGATTCCCTTCATTGCCAACCTCTCGCCCAGTGGAAAGTACTACATGGCCGATCTGTATGAGATCGGAGGTGTCCCATCTGTCCAGAAGCTGTTGATCGCAGCCGGTCTGCTCGATGGAGATATTCCCACTGTGACGGGCAAGACGCTGGCCGAGAATGTTGCCTCATTCCCCTCTCTGACTGAGGGCCAGGATCTGATTCGCCCCTTGGACAACCCAATCAAGGCGAGCGGCCACTTGCAGATCCTACGTGGTAATCTTGCACCAGGCGGTGCCGTCGCCAAGATTACCGGCAAGGAAGGGCTCCGATTCGTCGGCAAGGCCCGTGTCTTTGATAAAGAACACCAACTCAATGACGCCTTAAATGAAGGCCGCATCCCACGCGGTGAGAACCTTGTGATCATTGTGCGTTACGAGGGCCCCAAGGGTGGGCCCGGAATGCCGGAACAGCTGAAGGCAAGTGCCGCGCTGATGGGAGCCAAGTTGACCAACGTGGCGCTCATTACTGATGGACGGTATTCGGGTGCCAGTCACGGTTTCATTGTCGGTCACATTGTACCTGAAGCTGCCGTGGGTGGCCCAATTGCGCTCGTTCGCGATGGAGATGTCGTCACTATCGACGCTGAGACCAACTCACTTTCAATGGATGTGTCGGATGAGGAGCTTCAGGAGAGACGGCGTCTGTGGACCCCTCCCTCACCGCAAATCACTCGCGGTGTGTTGGCCAAGTACGCACGATTGGTCAGCGATGCATCACAGGGAGCCATGACAGATCTTTTTTAATGAATCATTATGATATCCCACTTAATGTGAATGTATCTAGCATATATCGCGGCAGTTGAAATGATGTTATGATATATTCTACCACATTCCAGAAAAGGCATAATCATTCGATATTGATATGATCTTCGTGGGCCCGCTTGAAATTGGCCAGTAGTAGTCATGAAGCCACGCATGCTGGCCCCAGGGTTAAGTCCAATATCGACCTCTCGGGAATCATGTACATATATGGTACGTTGTAGGCTATAAGGGAGTAAGGGATATAGACTATCGGCAAAAGAAGATTAAATTATCTTAAACTATGGAAGATCAATAGATGATACCTAATAGTGTATATTCCAAAAGTACTTCTTCTCCCATAGTAAATGCCATAATCAAGCAAGTTCCTGCCCAAATTTGTGGCTGCAAGACCCAAGTGGGGCTTATGGATGACTCACCCCCACGCCGCTCCTCCCGAGGCTGTGAGTGGCCGAAGCTGACCTCTCTACTTTTTCTTATCCTCGCCACTCAAAGGTTTCAACGTTGTCGATCTAGTCCTCCTTATTGGTCTCAAGCCTGTTTGCCCTATATTCAAAGAGTATCGGGGGCACCGTCGCGTGGTTCTTGGCAAAATCCCTATCGGGGGGCTCTGAAAATAGCCCACGCCCCTCCGGTACTTAATCATGGGGTCCGACGCTATCTCCGCCCTCTACGACTCGTTGACGTCTCAATCCAAATCCTCAAGTCTCGCGGCTGTCCTGCGATTCTTTCACTCAGTGCGTGCGGCCGCCCAAAACGCTTCTTTCTCCTCCATCGCCAGCTCCTTCCGCGGCTTTCACCGCAATGACGAGGTGAATTGGGGTCAGGTTGTGTTCTTAACTACCTGTGTAGTCGCCATGACTGGGTGTGGTTTGTTGTCTTCGCTGGCGCGGCGCAAGCGCTCAGGTTCAAACCCTTCCCATGCGCAGCGCGCCGCCGCTCGCAAGAGCTTAACCAAATCTTCGAAGATTCTGAGCTCCTCAGAAGAAGAAGACTACGAAGATGAAGACTACGATAGCAACGCATCGCTGCGACACGGAACCAATCCCAACTACAAGAAGAAAGATTGGCCGTCGGACACTCAACAGCAAAGCTCCGATGGTAGGTGAAGAGCTCATATTTCACTTGGGGCCTCGGTTAACAATCGCGCAGCATATGAAACGGACCCTGGCATTCTCAGAAAATTCACCACATACAACTCCTACACTACATCGGTGGCTACATATCCCGCTATTCGCACATTCTACAGCCCGCATCCACACCTAGCTCGACTCCCGACCAAACCGACTCCTATCCCACTGATCGTGGTTGTTCATGGGTTAGGCGGGTCCTTGGCACAGTTCCACCACCTCCTAACCAGTCTGTCTAATGTCAGTTCGTGCTTTGGTATTGATTTACCTGGATGCGGCCTGTCCAAGTTTGCGCCTACGGATTGGAATGCATATACCGTGGAGGCTTTATCCGAACTATTAGCTGAAGCCATCGATCAGCACCGGGATCGGGAGGCTGGCCAAGAAATCATTCTAGTTGGACACAGTCTTGGATGTTCCCTGTCTGCTCTTTTGGCTTCGTCTGCGTCCTCTATTGGTGCAAAGGTAAAAGAGCACATAGTTGGCCTTGTCGCTATCTGTCCTCGAGCCTCACCCCCATCTGCGGAAGATACTACCAAGTTTCGCCGAGCACTCTATGTCCCCAGTGTCCTTTTTGATCTTTGGCGTCGCTGGGACAGACGTGGAGGCGAACAAAGTGCCAGTGTTATGCGGATGGTCGGTGTCGCTGCCGACGTGGAAACGCGAAATCTGCAGGTGCGCTACAACAAGCAAAGTCGGACGCCGGTTTGGCGACGCATGGCGTGGGGCACACTTCCCAGCTACGATAATGGCAACCACCCAAGTGGTGGACTACCTGGCCAGGAGGTCTGGGCGGGAATTCGCATGCCAGTTCTGTTGGTCGCGGGAGAAACGGATGCTGTGACCAAACCAGTGGAGGTGCAGAAGATTTTGAACTTCTTTGGTGATGCTTCGGCCCATACAACGATCGACACCACTGATAGCAGCATCATACCAGACGCTTCTCGAGTCCATGACCAGATGTCAACTTCAGCCGACGATCTCGTCAACGAGAAGGTGCAAGGTGTGCAGATCTCTGAGAAGCATCTGGAGGTTGGCCAGCGGAAGCGAGTGGTCAAATCGGCTATTTTGCCGGCACCCGCATCTCATGCACTTCTCTATGACCGGGCAACCTATCGCACTCTTGCAGGGATTATCCAGGATTTTCTCTCGTCGAACATTGATAAACGTCTCGGTCTGGGCTGGCAATTACAGCACATGAATACTTCTGGGAAGTGGGATGTCAAGAATCTCGCCAAATGGAAAAAGGTCGCCCCAGTCTCGGAACGAATTGCCAACACATTTGTTGCGATGAAGATGCTGCGCGAGGTTGACGAGGAACACAACCCTACAACTTTCTCGGAAAAGTACCGTGGTCGCATATACGCTGTTATAGACATCAGTCATGAAAGTCCCGTCTACAACCCGGCCGAAATGGAGAAGGGTGGAATCCGCTACTATAAGCACCCGACTGTATCCAAGATTCCTCCAACTCCAGATGAGGCACGCGACTTTATCGCTCTAGTCAATAAATTGCAAAAGCAAATTGATGAGGAGATAGAGCAGCGTACGGATGAAGAGAAGTCTCTGCCACGTCCAGTGGTCGGAGTTCACTGCCACTATGGCTACAACCGCACCGGGTTTTTGATCTGTTGCTATTTGATCGAGCATCTTGGTTTTGGTGTGCAAGATGCCATTGATGAGTTTAACCGCTGCCGACCTCCTGGTATACGACATGGTCATTTTATTGACACTCTGTTTGTGAGGTATTGTGTTGGACTGCAAAGAGCGCCTACACTGTAATTAACAAGGATTTGGGCATTGGAACTGGGAGTTGGAACTGGGAGCGACGACTATGGATCAAGGTTTTAGGAAACGGGGTACATCTTTTAATTGTTTCAAAGTTACGAATAATGAAAACCGGCATGGAATAGATGTTAATTGGTGCATCACTAGAACAAGAAAAAATGAACTAATGAAAATAATCTTTCATCACGGACTGTATGTCAAATAATGCACGCCTGGTATATAAGGCATCAAGGGGTGTGGTTGTGGAGCCTTAGAAGTCAGGCACAAATCGGGCCCCATCACATGACCCAGCTTAGGGTACGGCTAACCCAAAATGGACAAGCGAACGGCACACAGACCCAACCCGCCCAGAGTTGTGTGTGTCTTGAAATTTTGAGCGACTCTTCGACTTCGACCCTGCCCACCTCGACGCCCAACGCCTCTCTCTCTCTAATCCCTACCCTTCGACCCCTCGACAAGTCGCCAAAATGGGTGGTGTTACCGTTCGCGATGTGGACGTAAGTGTCCTGCTCGATTTTAGGTGATCGGTCACCAGCTCTGGTTTGCATGATGTGGACGGTTCGTTTCTGGATGCACGGATACCACAACATCGGTCGGATCATATCGCCAATATGGAAATGCTTCGCACGGATTACGCATACAGTGGGCGAATTGTTTAATTGCCTATCGGAAAAATGTCGAATATCGAAGGATGTGCATGCATGTTTTTGAGGGGCGAAATTTTGATAGATTTGTCTATCTGTTGGTATTCTCTCTGGAATATTGGATACAAAGACTGCATTCTAGCGAATATCCCACACGACGAATGATGAACTGCTTCCAGAAACGAATCCGACACATCTGCAAATCCACAGACTTTGACCGATGCACGCGTATACTGATGAGCCACAACTAACATCTCACTTTTCTCACCCACACAGGCGCAGAAGTTCATCTCTGCCTACTCTGCTTTCCTGAAGCGTCAGGGCAAGCTCCCCATCCCCGGATGGGTTGATACTGTCAAGACCTCTGCCTCCAACGAGCTTCCTCCTCAGGATGCTGACTGGTACGACCGCATCAAATCACAAGCCACCAAAATTCGAACAACCAGTTGACATTGATTTTTCTAAAGGTTCTACGTCCGCGCCGCCGCCTGTGCCCGTCACATCTACATGCGCAAGACCGTCGGTGTCGGCCGTCTTCGCAAGGTCCACGGCTCCACCAAGAACCGTGGTGCCCGTCCCGCCCACCACGTTGATGCCTCCGGCTCCGTTGACCGCAAGGCCCTCCAGGCTCTTGAGAAGATCGGTGTCCTCGAGATCGATGAGGAGAAGGGTGGCCGCCGCATCACCCAGAGCGGTCAGCGTGATTTGGACCGTATTGCCAAGACCACCGTCGATGAGGAGGAGGAGTCTGATGAGGAATAAACGTATCGCAACAATGGGCTTTTAATAGTTCGGGGATAAGTCGTTTGTTTTTGTGGTTTTGTCTTCGCTACGGCGGCAAGATATTGGAAATGACGACACAAAAATAAAAATTCGGAGCTTGCGGTCCCGTGCGCGACTTACGTTTGTTTCTTTTTTCTTGTTCCAACTCCATATTTTTTTTTATCTGACGACCAGACGGGGCTACTAGCGGAGAGAGATATGGGCGGTGCAGAGTGCATGAGGATGAGGCATCATTATCCGGAGACTTGAACGAGAGAAGAGAGCGGACGAGACGGTCTACACAATCCTTCCCCTCTCTCTCTTGTCGAGGAGAGGGGATTCTTTTCCCCTTGACATGTTTTTATGAACTCCCTCACCTCTTTAACCCCGATCAACCCTACGGCGTCTTTGTCCCTTTTTTCTCTCGTGGTCTCCTGGAAATAAAGAGCATGTCTAAACACTTCAAAACTGTTCCGTCCTCTCTCTGTTGTAGGTGTAGATGTAGGTGTCTGTTGTCATTTAGCTACTTGGTGGAGCTTTCGCCCTGCACATTATATAGATCAACGTTTCCCAAAAGTCCAATTTATATCATTGCTATTGAATTTATGCAACTCTTTTTCATATATGTACAAGACAAGTCTAATGGTCACACTTCAATCCGCTTTATTTCTTTCCAGTTTGAGCCGCAGTATCCTAGAAGACAACCAATCAGCACCACAACTATCACAGCTAGCAGCACAAGGATGTACTCACCAAGTAAACCTGATAAAATTGCATCTTGATATTATCGTCCTCCTTCTGAGGCGCAAACACAACCCGTCCAGCCCAAGGCACATAAACATCATTATCCGGGTTAGCCTTGAGTCTATAGTTCACTCCACCGTACAACATGATCTCATCATCGCTGCCGAAGTAGATCTGTACCGGCGTGTGTCTGCGTGAAGCAACATGTGTCCAGAGGCCCTGACGAAGCGTGAGAATTGCTATTATAGGATTGGTCTGGTTAGCTAGAGTTCAACCCAACACAGATGTATATATATTTTGTGCATCAAAGTGGAAATCAGGACCGGAATTGGTTATATGATTGCGCAGAGTTAAAGGGAGGGAATTGGATAGCAGCATACCGCTTGCGCCCTTGGCCTCCTTTGGTCCCATAATGAGTGTCGCATCTTGGGTGAAGTACTGGACGTATTTCTCGTGCAGGGACTCGGTGTCGCTGGTGCGATAGAAGTCTTCCATGAATGCGACGAGGGCGGCGGCGCGCGGTGGTGCGCGGGTAGCGTCGTAGGTGATTTGGTAAGACATTCTGGGTTTAAAGGAGTTAGATTTGCAGGTTGTTAAAAATTAATGAGATGGTAAATTCTTGCGGGATATGTCTACTTCATGAGGGGAAATGTCGGAAGGGACGCATCCGATCTTATCGAGACTATAGATCAAAGTTTCCTGAGGTCGCTTTCTACAATTTTATATGGACCAATGAGGATGATATTAGTACACCAAGTATATGTTGTAGATACTGATATATGTGAGGTATGACTTGATCAAAAAGAGTAAATAGCTCACATAGTACACGAAGTTGGAGGTCCACGGGTGGTGCTCCATATTTCGGAATAGCATCGGAAGTGGACATCCATACCCACAAACGATGCTCATAGTCATCCATTCAGAGATTTGTACACTAGATCGTGCACTTGACCGGGATATTATGGCAGATAATAAGTCCACAGGTAAATTCACGCAGGTCCTTATCACAATCATGGATTGACATATTTCTGATGTATGAAATAGACATGCCTACAGTAGAATGTTTATACTTCGACAGTCTTGCCTGATATCCTCATTCTCGCCCTAAATAATACCCCAATACAAGAGCTTCGTGTACTGAAGTTTGAAGAAGAATCACTGGTTGTTCCTAGCTAAGAAGAGAGATGGGGAGGAGAAGAATATTGCCGGAAAGGGACAAAGGGAGCATACAGGGTATCTCAATCTTCTTTCCCATAACAAATGCACATGTAGATCTTTCTCCTCACATCATACATTGCTTAACATAGGCCTCTCGTCACGATCTTTGTAATCGCCCTCCTTCATATAACCATTTTGAAGCGCTTGACGATAGGGCGTCCGTGTATAGACGTAACCTCCCCCATAGTCCACCTCCAATGCCCGACGCATCACTTGCCCGACCGCTTCCTCTGTATCGCTGTGAGCTTCTCGCCATCGCCAGTCCTCTCTTGGTGAGTACTGTGTACGAACAGTAGTATGACCAAAGTCGATCATAGTCATTTTATATTTATATTCGGAATCCAAATCGTTGGCTGGGTCGGGTTGCACGATCAAGCATCTTGGGCTCGCCTCGTCATTGAGGACCCCATGGTGCATGATGTTGTTGACAACCTCGATAGCATTGTCAATAATGGGCTGCCATCATTTCCTTGGGGCACGCTCTGCGATGTCGGGCAGAGGGAATCCTTCGATATATTCCATAAGAATCCCAGGGTGTTCGAAAGACCGACTAAAAGACTGATCTTGGGTGCATTCTGGCCCAAGAATCTTGGTGCTTGCAAAAATTCGGGGGGCATGGATGCCTTGGATGTCTTTCATCGCTTTGTATGCTTGGACCTCTGATTCGTAATGGAACTGCCTTGCCTTAAGAGTGGAGATATATCTCTTGACATAAAGGAATTCATTCATCTTCGTCCTCTCCTTCTTCATTTCCAGATTGGACGGTACTCCGTACATCCATCTCAAATGTTCAGATAGCTGAAAGGACGCCAAAAAGAAAGGGGCAAAGTGCAAGGGGAAACGGAGAAAATGGTTTCTTTCATGCAGAATGCCGTGCGAACTGTCAGTTGAATGACCTATTCTCCAACATGACCTCGTGTATAAAAAAGTCACAACAAAGACACTATGGGTTCAAGGGTTATAAGTGAGTACAATCAATGTTGTGTTTATTTGTCGGTTACGATCCCTAAATAATATTCCAGGGCGAACTAAAACACTGAAAGGGAAGAAGGCAAAGGGCTCTAGAGCTTTTTGATCATTATTTTAGCATCGACGGCACTATCAGTTCTACATATCAAGAGTTCAACCTCCAGTTGACTACAATCCATGCTGTATCTTACTGTGAGACTTGGGGTTTAGTTGCTATAATAAAGGGAAGAACAGGAAGCTTTGTGTCTGTAAACAGAAAGTTACTTTTATTTAGGAGCAGTAAACGGACTTTTTGTCCGGTGATAGAAATGACAGGCCAAGGCTTCAAATGATATAGTGTTCAAACACCATCGAAGACACTACAAAGAGAAGGGAGTCTGAAGGGACACTTGAAACGAGGCTACCGATGAAAGTTCACAAAGAGAAGGACTAACAAGCTCTTCATGTTGTCTCTAAAAGAAGCATTGATGGGACAGATCTAGCTTCGTGGGTATTATAGATCTAGGGAGCCAAAAAATACAAATCCCTTTCTCTGTACTAAACACTAAATCATTTTGTCTAATTCTTAGGATCGAAGTAATCTAAAGACAATTTCAACGCACGGCATTGTTCCAGTTCGTCCAAATCCCTCATCCCAGACGGCCACTGAAGCAACCGAAGCTGACTCCCTTTGCCAAACGGCTCCCACAACCCATTCGCCTCAATCTCCCGAGTTGTATTACTATATCCCCTTGCCTTCAAAAAGGCCAAATCAGGAGTAGGTATACCTACTCTCGCAAAACTCGCCCAAGAATCTAGTACATACTGCCCGAAAGGTAGATCGAACTCATCCCGGAACGGCAAACCCTGACGACGGAAACTGCCAAACACGTAGAACAGCTCGCCAGAATGGCATTTAAAGTACTCCTTGCTGGGGTCACCATTTGGGAACTCCTCTGTGATAGGAGCGTTGCACACTGGGGCATTGGGTGACCAGCCTGGCATTTGGTATGAGCGGTTAAACTCGTAGTAAAAGATATCGGGGAAGATATGAGTCCTTGAGGCTGTGTGTGCAGTCGCTTGGTCAATGCATCGAAACATTCCATCTGTGGCTATGCGAGAGGATGTGTTGAAGATATCAAGTGTAGCATTGACGGTTGATGGTACAGGAAATAGTTGGCTTGGGTAAACTGAGTCACTAAAGCCTGATTCATTGAGGAAGGATTTCAACGTTTGTCCCACTGCAGGATAACCAATCATGGCAGCGCCATCATCTCTCATTGTACCGATCATCAAAGGCACATTGGCAGTCGATGCTGGGTTTATCAAATCCAGCTCTGAGCTTCGGAGGTAGACGCCATCGACAACCAGATACCGCGCCGAGTCAGCAAGATTGGCAATCGTTGACGCGGGAAGCTTTCTCAAACACTCGACGGGTGAAGCAGCATCCGTGCAGTTTGTTTCGTTGAGAATGGCATTCCCCACAACTTCCATCTGCTGCGCGATGGTATAATACTTCGAGTAGGTTGTGCCATAAGCCAAGCCACCAAGATTACTCTGCATGATTGCACCAGCAAATTTACCTCGTGCGAGCGGAGAAGCAAGTAGTGCCCGCACTGAGCCTGCACCGGCCGATTGGCCGAAGATGGTTATTCTGTCTGGATCTCCGCCGAAGTCCTGGATGTTTCGACGAACCCACTCCAGCGCTGTGGTCTGGTCTGCCAATCCGTAATTACCGTTGGTTTTACCATCATCTAATGCAAGAAACCCCAGTGTTCCCACGCGGTAGTTTATTGTAACGACCACAACATCGCCTCTCGAGGCTAGATTACTACCGTCGAACGTGGGGTCACTGCCAGTGCCGCCAGTGAAAGCTCCACCGTGAATCCAAAGCATCACAGGTTTAAGATGGCTCTTTCTGACTTTGCGGCTTTGGGGAAGATAGGGAGACCAAATATTGAGGAACAAGCAGTCTTCTGAACCAGTTGTGCCTTGTGTGCAGTCAGAGCCATAGTCGAGAGCAGAAGCTTTTTTGCCAGTCCCTTTATATAGTCGGGAATAGTCCCACCGTCGGGGCTGTTTAGCGTAGCGGATTCCCAGAAAGCGGAAACTGAATCGATCCCGGAATCTGTGGTTTGTTAGGATAGATCGCAAGGTCAGGGAAGTACAATTTCCTACCCGGTAAGATATTCCTCATTGGAGTGAACAGTCACCTGCCACTGAGCACTTGTATCCTGAAATGTACTGTTGGAGAAGGGGGCACTTTGTGTGCAAAGCACAGGCAGTCTCTCGTTTGCAGATGCTTTATTCACCCGACCATTTGCATCGATGGTCGACAGTTTGCGGTGGTCCGAGGCAGTCCAAAAACGTTGGTTGCGAGGGTATTTGCCTTGGTATACAAGATAGTCCAAGTCACTTTTGATCTTTTTGTAACTGGAATCAGTGCCCCAAAGAACCTCTCCAATCTTTTGGCAGCTTTCAGTGGCTTCTTGCCATGGTTTCGCGTCGAGCACCAGAATTCCTGAATCTGATAGTGGACTTTCAGTTTCTTTTTTGAAAGTCAGTCCTCGAAGTCATGTTCTTAACTCAGTGACTATGCAAACCTAGCAGATCATTGTGAATGAGAATGGAAATATCGGAGTTTAAAGACTTGGGGCTCGCTGCTGCATTTGCGGTGATTGCCAGACAGAGAAATGCAAACCCATAGTAGACCATTATGGCCAAATACGTGATGATTCGAAGTAACCTCCCTTTCAACTATGGGAAGCACACTTTACGCCTATTTAACCATTTTTCTTCTGGTGAATTATCGAATTGTCGAATTATTTAGGCACAAAAAACCCCCGCGTCGGGAAAATGGCCTTGGTAAAATAGGCGAAGATGACCATTTATCCGATCAGACGGGTTTAGCCTCATCTTCAACGTCTTGGTTTGATAGGATATAAAGCTTGTTTTATCCATAGAAAAGCTGTCTATACGGTATAGGATTTCCCTCCTTTTTCTACCGTCTATAGAACCAAGGGGAGAGATATCTAAATGGGACGTAGAAAGACTACATGAAAAGACTCAAAATACTAAAAAGATATCACAAAGCTGCATCGGTAGTCGATCATTGTCTAGAATCATAGAAAATAATGTGTGTACAGAGTAGTGAAAGCAGCCGTGATCCTCCGCAGGGATCTTCCCCACAAAGATTCCGAGACATGAGCATGAACAGCATCTCCCAGATACAGCGCTCAAGATTTTGGATTGCTTGTTACTAGCACAGTCATGGAGAACTCAACACGATCAAGGGGCAGTCTACCTCCTCCACCCCCACCTCCCCCACAGAACCCTCGGTCAAAAATATCACCCACAGTCCTAAAGATGCGAAGCACATCTCCCAGCCACTTCTTTCAATCCCAGATCCCCCGACCTCAACCCCAAGGTCCTGCTCCAAAAGGCCCATACTTCTTCTACGGCTCACTTCAAGACCAAAATCTACTAATAGAGTTGTTAAGTCTAAAACACGCCTCCCACTTACGACCCGCATACATCGAGGGGTACAAGTGTAAGCTCTGGGGACACTACCCAGCTCTACTTTCTGGCGATCTCGGCGATACCATCACAGGGGCTGTGTACGAGGTACTGACCATTGAACACGCAGAAAAACTAGCGGCTTATGAGGGGCCTAGCTATACAACTGTTGCATGCTCAATTCGGTATATGGATGGCGAATCTCCAATGCAGGCAGAGGGGTACGTGTTTCTCTTCGTGGGAAATATGCGCGACCTAAGTGAGGGGTCTTTTGACTTAGAGGGTTGGTTGGGGAGAAGGGCAGGAAGAGATAATTGAGGGAGACGTGGGGTGCTCAGACTTCGGTATCCGAAAGGGGAAACTATAGAATGTACAGCGCAGAGTCACAATGGTTATCGGTACTTCTCATTTTTACCCTGAGTCAGCTTATTGATTAAATACTGTTTGATTACATGTACCTATAAGCATTAGGGGAGCATGACCATCCCCAACGCGGATGTCGCCCTGGAGGGGCACATCAAGGTATAATCAAGGCACAGACAACTCAAAAGACCCAACAACGGGCAAGTCAAATCTTCAGCTGTATCCTGATTGAGGGGTTATCATATAGAATGGTAGAATGGTATAGAAGGTGACATGCAGAGCTCGCATCTACTTCCCGCACAATGGAAAGGGAATGGCCGAATTGCGCAAGCCCACATTTTTCCAACACTCCAATAATAAACCCACAAGTCCACAAGTGTGCTGGCTATGTCGTACATGGACCTCGCGCTAGAGCAATGCATTCTTCGGGGCAAAGGCTAGGCGACCAAGGTGTCAGCTATGCAGGATTCCTTGATAAGACACAGGACGAGCGTATTATCCCTTATACGGGTGCACAAACAGACGGGAATAACCTTGGAATAAAAGCGCTCAAGCCAAGATTGTCACGGGTACCAGTGACGTCAAGGGCCAGAGTCCAGATTATAGTGGGACCCGAGGAAAGTGGATGTACCCAGTACATACCCGAGTACTTAATGTGCGCGTACTCAATGTTCGGAGTATATACAATCTCAGTACAAGCTACACGGTCATTCAAGTTCAATGGACACCGAATTCGAAAGAAGATGGAGATCAGAATGACATCGACACTCGTGGACGATACAAGGGTACAGGTCCACGTGCCCTGATTATCAGCCGATAGGAAAGCATAGGGTTACGCCCTGGAGAACACTGCAAGCGTTAAAAGGCGCACGAGCACTGAGGATCCTCATGAGTGGCCGATAACAACTTGGCATTGAGGGGTTTTTCTTTTCTATTACTCAGATATCTATGACTGGATTGACCTGATCGACTCAGGGATGAAGATTAGTGTGAACATCCGGTGTATTTGTAGGATGTATAGCATGGATGAACCGAATCAAATGGGACTAGGAAGTTATATATATATCTATCTCACTCAAAGAAAGCAATAAAGCAATAAAAAAATTAAAAAAATACAGAGTAATAATGTCGTAGAACAATCACAATAGTATAGAGCCGGAAGCACCCGGTGACAAGGCGCCAATCCACGCGCTTTCCTGAGATTACCTAGGTACCCTTGGACCTGGAGTACAAAGATCTAAGTCACTTCCAGGGCCTTGTACCCCTCCAAACTTATCTTTCCCTTTCTCTTCTTCACACACATCTTGTGATATTCGATCTCGAACTCTTGGGACCTCGTCACCTTGGAATCTGCTCTTATCGCGACTATCGCTCTCCCCTTGCCGCGTCGCATCCCCTACGTGGATTCAAGCCCTAAACAAGTTGGCCCCAACTTCGCTACACCGGCTACAGTGTCTCTTTGTCACTGTGTGTGAAAGGTTAGTTACTTGATCTGGTCTCTTTCATTCGGAAACCATTTCTGTTGCCACCCGATCAATCCGTGGTACTTCTTTGTCGCGTGTTAGAACGTCTTCTGACTCATATACCCCGGGTTGCGCGCTTTAGGTTCTGATCCTTTCACAAATTCATTTTCAATCCATCATGGCTTTCCAGACAAACTCCAGCATTGCGATGGCCCTTGCTGGTAAGACTGCTTCTGTTGATATCCCTCAGCGCCGTTCTGGCCTGAGTGGCAACCATGTGCCTACGCGACCCGGGATGCCTGCGATGCTTCCCACGCCACCCAACTCCATTTCCCCGAACCTCCCTCCTCAGACCTTCAAGCAACGAGTGGCCCTGTCGCCCGGATCGCCGCTATCGACCGTCCCCCAGTTGGACTCTGATATTGATCTCGAGGATGCGGAACACGCCAACGATCATCATGTCTCCCTGCCTGTCGACGACCTCGACAGTACCGGCGCGATCACCCCTGCCATGCTATCCAAGTACCATCTCCCTGAGATCTTACTCCAGCAGGGACCTTTGGCGATCCGCCACGTTATGGGTCATCTGACAGCTTCGGTCCCTGGCTTTTCGCATATTCCCCCCCGCCAAGGCGCGCAGACTGGTGGTTGCTGCGTTGGAAGGTCGAGGAAATGGAGGAGAAGCAGGTGGTGTTCAAGGCGACGTCGTGTTCGAGAAGATTGGTTGGGGTCGCTGGGACGCGCGACGTCGTGGTGAACCTGCTCGCGATCGTGGTTTGAACACTTCGTCGTCGCCGCCCTCGAGTGTCGCAGGCTCCTTCCAACAGCGTGGCCTACAGATTCAGGGTCAGTCGGGCTGGCAGGGTGGCAACCGTCATCCATACCGCATGAGCTTTGCCGAATCCACGGCATTCTCGTACACTGACGATTACGGTATGCAAGGGGACCTCGACATGCTGGAGCACGAGGCAGACAAAATGTCTCTCGATGGTGACGACGGCGAATACTGTTCTTCGTCGGAGGCTCCCGATGAAATTCAAGAAAATGAGTGGGTTGAAGGCGATGATACCGATGAGGAGGACTGGGCACAAATTGGTGCCGACGCTTTGCGCGCCCGCTCGATGAACAACAATGGCAATTTCATCAACAGCCACGTCGCTGCGCGCGCAAAGCCTCAGCCTTCTGGGATTTTCCCCGCCACCTGTCCATCTGTGGCTAAATTGCCACCCCGCACCTTCGACATCCAAGAACGCGCGGCTGTGGAGGCGCTCCTCTGCCTGGGCTCCATGTAAAGCCCCCACCCTCATCATGATCGGCGTTTATTTCTTTGAACTTTGGCGGGATACACTTCTTTTTTTTCCCTTCATATTCACGGCCGTCGAAGCTGGTCTGGACCGCTTTTGGCTGTGACCTTTCGACAATTCCAAAAAAAAATCCAAAACCAGGAAATTTGGTTAGCTTGCAGTGCAACTACCTCGATTGATAGGCGTTTGGTTTGGACCTTTGTGGTATTGGGTTTCCCAGATGGCGTTCAAGTCTTCACTTTTCTCTTATGCCTGATACGAAACAATTTGTCATGACGTTTCAGGGTAGCAGTCCCGTCGTTGCTACCACTATGACAACACCAAATACCCCTTCTCTTCTCTGCTCACTATTTATTTTTTACGTGGGTTGGCTCACAGTACTATTTTCTGTCGACCACTCTCACCCTGGCGTTTATCTTTGCATTAGTCGAGTCGGCTACCACTGCTACAAGACTCGTGTTTCTTTCTTCATACTTCGGACTTTTCTAATACTCTACTTTGTCACCTTTTTCTTATTCGTTTTCAATTTCAATAACTCCTCGATCGTCCTTGGAAGATCTCAGCCATTCAGGGGGAGGCTCCGGTCATCTTTATTGATTGCACTGACCCTTCTGACTTGTATGGAATCTCAGTCATCTTCACTGATCCAACTGAGATGTTGTCTTCTTCCTCTCTCTCTTCCTCTCCCTATCTCTATTTGTCTGTGTTTCTCTTTGTGTGCTCTACGCATAGTCTGTTGTACATTGCAGGTTCATCGCCCTTGCATTGCCTCTGAGGGTTGGGCTTTAGTCTTTGAGGCTGAATACTCAACGCTTCAGCCGCGGATGGGATGGAGGTACATAGGCAGTTACCTATCTAGTTTAGAAACTAATCCGTCGCAGATCCTGCGCGGCTCAGTTGCCACTTCTTTTCGCTTGTAAACTAACCTGTCCTAGTCGTAGGCTAGATGTTATTACAATCGAGTCCAAATACTAGAGCTTAACCAGGAAGCTTGATTTAGTCCCAGCTACTTTATACCAAAGCCACCAATTATCCTGAAATAAAATTTCAATCAAAACATCGATATAAGATATCATTTAAACTAGACTCAAAACACAACCCCAAACTCCATCACCCAATTTGATACTCCCATCATCCCTCAAAATACCCGACATTGGTTCACAATGGAGTCCCTTAACCCACGCTGCAAATTCTCAACCAGTGACCATAATAAAACATAGAAGACATGGAAAGCCCCCGAACCTAACCAATCCTCTTACTCATGAACGTCATTAATCTTCTTCCAAACCCCCTTCTCAACCTCCGCCAACTTATTCCCAGACCACTTCATCCACCCCTTCGCCGCTCCCAAAAACCCCTCCTCCTCTTCAGGGAAGATACTACTCGCCCCACCCCCAGACCCAGCCCCGGCACCGTGGTGCAACGGCAGAGTCTGTGGACGAGCGTGCGAGCCCGCGTTCGTCTGGTAGACAGACGAGTATGGCGAGGAGGTTGAGTTCGGCACTGCCGTCTGCGGACCTACGGTGGGTGCATTGTAGGAGTAAGATTGTGTGTAGCTTTGGTTTGTTTGCTGGGCTGGTGGGGGTGGCGGTGTATAGATGGGGTCGTCGGGTTTGGGGGGTTGAGGGTGGAATGTGGGTGTTGTTGCTGCTTCTGGTGGTGCGGATGGGAGGGCGCCTGGTTGAGGTGGGGGTGGGGTTTTTATTGTGGACGTTGCTTGTTCTGGGAAGGTGGTTGTTGGTGGTTGTGCTTCGGGGACGGTTGGTGCTGTTGCTGTTGGGGTGGGCTGTACTGGTGTGGCGCCTGGTTGGGGTGGTGGTGCTGAGGGTTCAGGATCGGCGGTTGTGTAGATTGGAGGGTTTGAGGGAGCTGTTGCTGTTGCTGTTGTTGTTGCGGGTGCTTGTGGAGGTTGGGAGGGTGCGTTTGCTAGTGACTCGATTACGGTGGCGGGTTCGGGCTGTGAGGTTGTTGTGTGTGTGCCCTCTTCCAGGTTGGAATTTACGGGCGCTGAGTTGTAGGTTTTGATACCAGTTGGTGAAGACATTTTGGATAGATGGTGTGGAAGGATTAAGTGTCAAGAGTGAAGTGGCTTTGTAGCTTCAAGGAGCTTAGACGTCATTGCTATTGCCGCTGTGGAGCCCTGCCGCATCGGGACGCTTTTGATAAGTTTTTGGCTGTTGCCTGTGAGGTATTGAAATACTAAGATGAACAAGGGGGTTGGGCTTAAATGGTTGAACCTTTGCTTGCTATTGTTTGGCTATGCGGACTTAGCTGAGGGCAATGTACTTGAAACCTCAATGCGTTGAGGGCCAAACGATCAATTAGAGGACTCTGGTCCTGCAAGACTTCTGAATAGCCCCTGATAGAATGTTTTACTTTTATGCTTACAAGGGAACAAATTGAAAAAACGAAAGAGTTTGCAGGCAGTAAAGTACATTTGGGTACAAAAAGGAAGAATAAACCATTCTATGCTTCAAGATCCTTCAGACCCATTTCTTGACGCATCTATCTTTTGACCATCCCACATCCTCGAATTCCACGCCCAGTGGTTACACTGGGGGAGGTGTGCATCCCCTATTCCAGTATAACTACAGTGGCAAGAGACTCACATTTCTGTGAATGGCTTAGAACTTCTTGCCGAGGAGGAGGAGCTGGGCCTTGTCGTAGATGGACAGGACACCAGCACCGGCAACACCACGGAGGATGTTGGCACCGGCACCCTTGAAGAGAGACTTGACACCCTCCTTGGCGATGATCTGGCGGGCAGCATCCATGGAGGACTTGTACTTAACGGCCTCACCAGAGGTCATCATCATGCGGCGGCGAACGGTGTCAAGAGGGTAAGAGGCAACACCGGCACCGGTGGTGACGGTCCAGCCGAGCAGGAAGGAGGCGATGAAGGAGCCCTCGAGAGGACCGACGAGGAGAACGGGCTTGATGGAATCGTACATTCCGAAGTAGAGACCACGGTAGACGACAATTCCGAGAACGGAGGGACCGAAACCACGGTAGAGACCGGCAATACCATCGGAGGCAAGGGTCTTGCGGTAGACATCGACGAGACCGTTGAACTGGCGCTCACCGGAGCCCTTGGAGGACTTGGCATCGTTGGCCAGACGGGTACGGGCGTAGTCCAGGGAGTAGACGAACAGAAGGGAAGTGGCACCGGCAGCCTGAGGGTCTTGTTAGTTGTTGTCCAAGCGCGAGAAAAAAATTTGGGTTACATACACCACCGGAGGCAAGGTTACCCATCATCCACTTGAAGTATCCATCGCGGTCCTTCTTGTAGGCGAACATGGACTTGTAGGTGTCGCGGAAAGCGAAGTTCAGGGCCTGGGTGGGGAAGTAACGGATGACGTTGGCAGTGTTTCCACGCCACAAAGACATAACACCCTCAGCAGCGGCAGTGCGCTTGAAGCAGTCGGTGATGCCGTTGTACTTGCGGTCGAGACGACCCTGCTTGAGCATCTCATCCTATCGATCGAGGCTGGTTAGATACTGGATGAATAGATATATTGAGATGCCGACTGTCACGGGCCAAAGGAGAAAAATTTTTCACCGGCTGTGATCAACGCAAAATCACAGATTGTGTCCAAAGTTGAACCTCAAAAGTGAATTGCATTATAATCAAGCGTGATATTCCGTCTCTAGCCCATTCCAATCGGTGCTTGACGGGTGGTAACCAACCTGGTTCTGGATCAGGAGCTTGACACGCTCAATGGGGGCAGCGGCGGTCTTGGAGACAGCGGCGGAGACACCACCCACTAATACACAGTTAGTATCAATATTCGAGGTCATCAAGCTAGCAATTGCTGATAGTTGCAGGCATCAAGCATGACACGTACTCAGGAAGTCGACAACGAAGCCCTGTGAAATTTGTTAGCTTTCTGGCTTGCTTCAATTCACAGTGCGATAGCTATGGCTGATCCTTGAGGTCGCAGAAGTGAATTCAATGACAATTTGATGGACATTTCATCGCATCTCGTTCTGAATCTTCACGCGACCTCAGGGACAGCTCACAGGGAGATACTCACGGGCATGCCGAAGACCGACTTCTCGGCCTGGTTAACGTCACCGGAACCCATTTTGAAGATAGTGCAAAAGAAACGGGATGCAAAAAAAAAAAGAGAGGAGATGGAAAGAGTGTCAAGAAGAAAGAGACACCAGGGATAATGAGGAAGAAAAAGGAAGAGAGAAGGCGGGAAGGGGGGCCAAAAAAAAAAAATACTCGACCGCCGGGCGCTAATACCCAATCAGGAAGCCAAAAGGGTTATGTTACTGTATATTACAGTCATTATACTGTATTGGTTTGCCTCTTGCCGATATCTCCCGATCCACTGAAAATTCTGCAATCTGGCCAGCTGGTCTTGATATTGGGTCTGGACGGTGCTATGGGTATGTCGGGCTCTTTTTTAGTCTCTTAAATGGATCACTCTGTCTCGATTTACAATATAACGTCCCATCAATTGGCTTTTCTGCCTTGGAAATGAGTCGATATTTCATCTTTTCACTTTGATCATCGACTTCCTGTAGTCCCGAGCAACGGTCCAAGCGCCGGTGCATAGTACCGTAGGGGTACGGTGTATATTTCCCTGTCCAATGCCGGATCTCCACTCCCCGGGGCAACCTCCTTTTCCCAGGCCGGGTATCCGATGGCAAACGGGGCATAAAAATTATATCTCGGTCTTGCCACCGACGTAGCTATTCCCTACCAGCCCTGTGTATCTGGGCTTGAGTGCTCTCAAATGTGTCGCTCTTGATTAGTTGTTAGAATTAGAATTCAAAGGACCCCATATCACTGGTATGCGTACTCCGTACTTCGTACAGAGAGAGGAGTCTTTGTTCGTCTCGGACGAGTGGATTCTCCCGAAGTATCCTCTGCGCCCATATTCTTTATTTCGATTTCTCACTGAGATGATCTACGTTGTCTGAAGTAGCATGGATAACTCAATTGAGCAAATGTGATCCCTCCCAAACCTTTGAGACATGTGAGGGATACCTGGGCTTCAATGCTGATATGAGACATTTTTGTCCTTCCAAGTTATCGTGATGTCGCGGGTACAAACTTTAAGCTGATAGATCGCCGCATGGACAATGTACCTAGGTACTTCACATGTTGAAAAAATGTCACTCAATGGCACAACTTGGCTCCACTTTTCTTGGTGCTTGAGGAAATGTTTGTACAGATTACTTTGTATACCTCCATACTTTTTTTTAGCTGTTAAAGTCATCATAGCAGTATTGCAAGCTTAGTACGGAGTATAGCTGCACATGTTGAAATCAAAATATCCCCGAGGTTCGCCCCAGCAACCGCTAGCGCCTAAGTGGACCCGCATCGCATGGGAGCTTTCCGCTTTGGGAGCTACCGAGTCCTACAGGTAGTATATAGTATATGGGCCTGAAAGAATGCGCGAAAATAATGCTTTGTAGTAGGAATTTGAAGATTTGTATACTGTTATACAATGTTTGGCTCATTGGCGATGAACTAGAGTCGCAATCTTAAGTTTTATGTTCCGGCTCTCTGAAAATCTGCAAAAATATATATCATGAGAAGTATCAGCATTTACTGCTCCCTATGCCAGTGTATCTGCATTTTTCTTGTCGCATTTTAATTACTTCGAATTGAGGATATTTACAAATAAGATATCACAAGGAAATATCCTTCAATACCCAAGTGGACTGTTCAACTTGAACGGGGGAGATTTTGGTTCATTTCATAAATTATTTTGAAAAAAGCTATGAACAATGGCAGACAGATGCAACACGTCTAATGCTTCTTTGACCTCTTTCTCTTCTTACGTGAGCCATCCCCTTCTCTAATATCAACTTTAGCTTCACCAACAGCCTCCTCAGGTTGACTAGGTTGGACATCGCCGCCGAACTTGAACTCCGGTCCATTCTCATCACCGAAAGTGTCTTTGCGCCACTCCCGAAGCCGAGCCTTCTTGCCTAGCCTCTTTTGATCGCGTCGCTTCTGCTCTTCTTCGCGGAAGGTGGCCAGCTTCTTCAAACCGGCGAACTTGTTGAGTTGTGTGTCGTCTGCCATGAGGATATCCCGTGCCGTCAAGCCAAAGCTTTCAGGTGAGGTTTCACGGTAGCGGAACTTTGTGGCGTTCTTCTTTGTAGCTCCAGGAAGTAAGGTGATATCGAGATCGAGGTTGCGCTCAACCGCATCATCAATGCGAAGACGTTCTTTGCGGGCCTCACGTTTCTGCATCCGCTTCTCTTCGGCCTTACTCTTCTTTTTGGATCCAGAAGCCTGGTCGTCATCTTCGTCCTCGGATCCTGATAGATCGACTGTGGCCTCCGCTTCATCCTCGTAGTCTGGGATCAAGTCGTTGATATCGATATCGTCATCCCAGGTAGGCTTCTTAGGATGCTTCTTCTTTTTGCCTCCCTCATTCTCACCGTCATCGCCCTCCTCCACAGCGTAATACTCCTCGCCAAACCGTTTCTGCATCTCTGATTCCCAGTTTGAGTCATCCCAGGAAGCATCCAGGAAACGAGACCAGTCTTCGTCCGTGAATTGTGAGGCACGAAGTCCCGCAACCTCCTTGATCTGTTCCACCTTCTTCTGGAGTTCCTCAGTCTTCAGCTTGCGAAGACGATTCTTCTCAGTTTCGCGCTGCTTCTTCTCCTCTTCCTTGAGTGCGCGTTCGGCGTCACGAATCTTCTTACGGGAACTCTTCTCCTCGCGACGGACCGATTGCTGGTTGGTGAGATCACGAGAGTGGGTGACTATCACCTCGTTCAGCTTGTTGGGGTCTTCGAAGCGGAAATTGTACGCTTCCTCCATAGCGTCCGCGCGCTCGACATCGTCATCATCATCCGAATCAAACGGATGCAGCTCTGGCTTGTCTGTGGGGATCCAGGCTCGTGCTGACAAGAAGTTGGACAGGAAGGTCTCGGGGTCTTTGTCCGCATTCTCAACATCGACTTTGATATCAGATTTGGACATCGAGATATCCTGACCGGGCTTGCGGACCATGAACTCGTCGGCATCTTCCATATCTTCGTCGGATTTGTCTGCCGCTTTGTGCATCT